AGCCAAAAAAGAAGGGCTTGGAACTATGGCTGGACTATGGATGAACTATGCAATTTAAACTTAAATTAGAAAAATGAAACTATTGCTGAACTATGGCAATTTAAATCAAAACTTAAAATGGAACTATGGCTGAATACTCTGCATGATGGGGAAACTTCGAGAATACTCTGCATGATGCTTTCAACCCTGAAAAACAGGACAGTCATTGGGGATCATCATCCCATTTTATTTGATAGTTCTGTTTGCAACCACCTACTATACCTACTAATTAATCTTGGTGATGTACCATTATTATCATCATTTTAGATGGTTAAATGCCATTAAACCCCAGGTTATGTCAGCCAGTCCTTCTTCTGCATCAAGTTGACTTGCCCATGGTTGCGAACTGCTTCCTGGAAGCATGGCCTATTGCAACATCTATGTTTTGCCTTCCCAATCCGAGTTACACTAGTTACACTTCAAACATTAAACAAGACTTCAACAACTAAACTTTCCATCAATTTCATTAATCTGTCATGGCAACATATGGCAACATTCCAAAGATTCCAAAGTACCACGACCAGAACCTACCAGGACCGGACCTGCAGGGTTTGCCCCACTCGCTGGGGTCCCAGGGCTGTGCCGCGTGGCTTCCTGCGACGACGGCTATGAAAGTAGGACAAACGGGAAAAAAACAACGTGGTAAACAAAGATCTTCCAAGATGTTCCAAGATGTTTCAACTGGCACAAAAAGATGTCTGAATTTCAGGTCATCTTTTTCAGAATTTCAGACGAAGTCTCCTGCAGCACGTCTCTTATGACCTCACCAAGTCGGGAAAACATGGGAAACGAAGATCGATGTCACCGTTCTCTAAGCCACATGGCTGTGGATCTCCTGGCAGCACCGATATACCATGGATATACCACCAAAATGTTATATTTTGTTCATGTACTCAGAACTGCAAAAAAAACCCTTTGGTAAACATGGTCTCGAAAATCGGCCATTTAGTTTGATCAATCTTCCCTTTAAAACCTTCATTTATCATTAAATTATATCATCATTTGGTGGGATGTTCCAGCTCACCTTTGATTTTCCCATTTTGGGAGCCATTTTTTCACTGAGGCCATCACCGGTCGGTAAGCTTTGGTGAGGCTTTGAGATCCAGGGGCAGCCTTCTCAGACTTAGTGGTTTCACGGTTTCGCCAAAAAACCATCCAAATCAAAGAACCCCCATGAAACATGTGAAACATTCCGAAACAGTTCATCAATCATCAACCATTCAGCTGTCTGGAAACTGGGGATACCTTCTAAATAGCAATCTAGGGACAAAAATGTATTATATAACCATCAGATTTGGGTTTTTACATGTTTTAATCGTAATTTTCCAGACAAATTCATGTGGAAAGTGCTGGTTGAAACCCGGTTTCACCGAGTTCCAAACAGGTCTCGGTGGCCGGGGGCCGGTGCAGTCGTGGCTTTCCCCGTGGTGCCGGTGCTTTTCCCTGGCAGTGGATATCCTGGAGATCGAAGTTTCCATCTCTGACATCTGCAAAAGTCAATCCAAATATGTTGATTTCTGTAATTTCTCTCCAGATCTTATCAAAATTCATCAATATATCACGGATATCATGGATACTTGATGTGGGTAACATCCATGAAATTCACCACCTGATGTGTTTCAGGATGACATGCCATGGGTGGCCTCCGGGAAACATTCCGCTGAGGAATGATGGTAGCTTCGTCATGCTCGGCCTTGGTTCGACAAAGCCATGGGTACCATTGACCCATTGGGGGCACAAACAGCACAACACGAAGAAAATGGAACAAAGAAACAACATGTTTGACAGACCTTCAACAACTAAGTCCCAACTGATATTTTGGCCGTTCAAGTCCAAATTTTGATCATTTCTAGCCAAAAGAAATGGCTGCGGTTTTCCACGGATACTGCAAGTTCTTGCAACAAAAAACGCATGGGATGAGCAAACAGCTGCCGAACAAAACACAATGGCTATGTCCAAAAATGGTGCATGCCCAAATCCACCGCAATCATCGTAATTAAGTCATATTTCCCTTCATTTTTAAAAAAGGTTTTCCCCATTTTGAGACACGCCCGAGTTGTCTGCACTGAAACTCTGCCAAACTTTTTGCACCATTGAAGGCGCCGGTCTTCATCACCTGGTCGCAATGTGTTCCATGTGTGTCCATGATACAAAGAACAAGACATGCATCAATGGCATCAACATGTGCAACGCCATGCAACGCCATTGTGCATTGTTTCCACTCAAAACACTTCCTGGGATCTGTTAAGATTTGCGTTCAGCACTGGATCTTCGTCGTTTGTATTGAAAAAAATGAGTTTCAGTCAGCAATTTGTTTTCGACATCTTTGCGCTCGAGAATGGTTGAAAAAGATGTTTGCGGACAAAACGGAGCTGTGAGAACACGAAATGCAGAGCGAAACAACCAGAAAACCTACATCGCTTCTGCTGGCTCCACTTCTGCAAAGAGGTCCTGGGGTCCTTGCTGAAAGTTTCACATCGCACTCTGATGCCTGAAGTTGCAAGAGACTGAGTTTACACGTAATGCCAAGTGAAGATTAATAAACCGCCCCGATTAAAAAACCACTAGTGCTGAAATCCATTTTTTATCCAACATTTTTTATTTCCAATTCTATTTATTTCCAATTATTTTTACTTTTTTTTAAATCATCATTGTTATACTTAAGGTTTAAGTTGATCATTGAAAATTCAAAAAACAACTATTCCCCAAATGATCGATTTCTAATAAACAAAATCTAAAAAATCATCAGTTTGGATAGCTCCCAAAAGGGTGCCCCCCATGAGCCCATGTCCCCCATTCATAATAACCAGGGTTTGCCCCTGATTCCCTGATTAATCAACCACCTTTCTGATCCATGAGATTTTAACAAATCCAATGGAACTCTATTAAGATCTAATTGACGTAAGCCATATCCAAAGTTCTATGATTGAAAAAGTGGTTCATTATTAAGGGGGGCTCCACAAGGTCAATCCGGTGTTGGCATTATATGTTTCACTACGATTAGATCCGTTCAATCCGCGCACAACCCAATGATAAGAAGGTAAAATCGGCTTGCTAACCATCAACCGAGCCTCCGAGCTTGCAAATTTGCCGCAGCACCAATGCCTCCCCGCCGCCTGCCGCCCGAATGCTCAACGCCAAGCTCTTCGATCTCAAGTGGATGGTATGGCAATGAGTTGCATAGGTCCTTCCATCCCAAAATTCGGACAAAAAACCTCCCAAAATGCTGACCGAAAACCTCTAAGTTTGGTGCTGGACAAAAGATTACAATTATAGAAGAGACATCGCAGACCACTTCGACAAGTGACATGCTTTGACTCATTGACATGAGTGTGAGTGTTTCTTGAATCAATGCAAAACCCCAAGTCATTAGATGGTTTAGTACTGGAGATGCAAAGTATCTGGTACTCCGAACTTCGTTGATTTTCATATTCCCATCAGACATCAACTGTTCCTAATCATATCGCTCCGACCTTGGCTCCAGTTCAGCCTCGCAACGCTGGATGTTAGTTTACGATTTGGCGCCAAGATGGTCCTTGCTGAAAGTTTGACATCGCACTGGGATGCCTGAAGTTGCAAGAGACTGAGTTCTATTTATGTTTCACTGGGATTAAATCCGTTCACGACCCAGTGATAAGGAGGTAAAATCGACGTACTGACTATCAACCAAACAATCCACATCAACCGAGCCTCCGATTTTGCAAATCTGCCGCAGCACCAATGCCTCCCCGCGGTCTGCCGCCCGAATGCTCATGCAACGCCAAGCTCTACGATCTCAAGCGGATGGTATGGCGATGCAACATGCTGTAAAGGGTTGCATAGGTCCTTCCATCCCAAAATGCTGACCAAAAAACTTTGATTTTGGTGCTGGACAAAAGATCACAGTTAGAAGGCGTCACTGACCACTTCGACAAGTGACATCTTTTGACATGTTTTGACATACGAGTGTTTCTTGAGTCAATGCAAAACCCCCAGGTCATTGGATGGTGAACAGTTGATGACATCTTGAATCAGCTCATCATCAGTGTGACTAAGTGTAGCCTCTGCTTGTCTCCGAGTGATCTGTTTGTTGGTGGAATTGTCTCGGTACATCCATCAGTTGTCGATGTTCCTCTGACTCCTCCCGAAAAGATCCCAAGAGCGTTGCTCACATCCCCAGGTGACCCGATGCCGGTTGGATTGACGATCGAAATGATTCAACTCATGACTTCATGGGTCAAAGCTAATGGTGCTTTCCGTGAATGTCCATCTCTGGCAATGAGATGTGTGATTTTGGCATGGTCTCAACCTTGGACTCCCCTTGAGATTTGATGATTGAACCCAGAGCCATCAAGTTATAACATCCCAATATAGTAGAAGGCCGCAAAGTACTGTAATGTCACCAGAAATGAGGGTTCTGACAATCATCCGAAAGAGTTTGGGGCATATCACAAGTGCTGGCTGTTAAACTTGAGGAGCTAGCCAAAAAGGAACTTGGATTTTGACAAGCGAAGTTCTGAGTCAAGTTCTCGAAATTCTGCTCAATCATCTGAAATGCTTTGTATCCCGCCTCCCCAGAAATAATCTGAACAAAAATCAGGGATCATTAAAAATAACAACAGCCAAAAACATCAAGATGACACCATACCATGCGCCCAAGCAACGCTCACTGTCTGCGATTGCATGAAGTACCTCGTTTACCACGGCTCGCGCAGCCTGGGCAAAGCAAGCTACGGATTCACCAAAGCTTCCGCAAATTGATTCAGTTTGTGGAAGATCTGGAGATCTTTGATCATGCAAAGCTTTTGAGCAATGGGACTCTCACTGCACAAATCATCACAAACCTGGATTCTGCCTAAAAACAAAAACAACGAACTCATCAGGACTTCCCAACTTCCATCACGCAAGTTTGCAGCACACTCGTTGCACAGCATCGTTTTCTCTGCGTTCTACGATATGGATAAACTGGATGCCCGCAGCGGCTATCCAAAAAGCCAACGCCGAAACCAATGCTGATCACCACCATGCTCCCTGAGGAGCCTAGCCACAGCCTCATGACTGTTTGCCCTAGCAATCCTTAGTGCTGTGAAACCACGGTGTGTTGCTGCCCTTACATCGGCACCGTGCTGTAGCAGCAGCTGGGCCACGGCCTCATGGCCATTCTCAGCAGCCAACATCAATGCCGTGCCACCATCGTGCCTTGCGGCCCCCACATCAGCACCATGCTGTAGCAGGAGCATGGACACGGCCTCGTGGCCACCTAGAGCAGCCAACATCAATGCTATGGAACCATCGTTGCTTGCTGCCGCGACATCGGCACCGTGCTGTAGCAACAGCTGGGCCACGGCCTCATGGCCACCTTTAGCAGCCAACATCAATGCTGTGCCACCATCGTTCTTTGCTGCCGCCACATCAGCACCATGCTGTAGCAGCACCTTGGCAACGGCCTCATGGCCACCTTGGGCAGCACACATCAATGCTGTGAAACCATCGTTCATTGCTGCCGCCACATCTGCACCGTGCTGTAGCAACAGCTGGGCCATGGCCTCATGACCTCGAGCAGCACACATCAGTGCTGTGAAACCATCGTTGGTTGCTGCCGCCACATCGGCACCGTGCTGTAGCAACAGCTGGGCCACGGCCTCATGGCCACCTACAGCAGCACACATCAGTGCTGTGAAACCATCGTTGCTCGCTGCCGCCACATCGGCACCGTGCTGTAGCAACAGCCGGGCCACGGCCTCATGGCCAATGTCAGCAGCCAACATCAATGCTGTCCTGCCACGGTTGTCTGCTGCCGCCACATCGGCACCGTGCTGTAGCAACAGCGGGCACGGCCTCATGGCCACCGCAGCCAACATCACCGTGCCATGTTGAATGCTGCCGCCACATCTGCACCGTGCTGTAGCAACAGCGGGCCACGGCCTCATGGCCAATGTCAGCAGCCAACATCAATGCTGTCCTGCCACGGTTGTCTGCTGCCGCCACATCGGCACCGTGCTGTAGCAACAGCCGGGCCACGGCCTCATGGCCATGAGCAGCACACATCAATGCTGTGCCATTGTCATTGCTGCCGCCACATCCGCACCGTGCTGTAGCACAGCTGGGCCATGGCCTCATGGCCACCTCGAGCAGTGCCTGCCACGGTTGTCTGCTGCCGCCACATCGGCACCGTGCTGTAGCAACAGCTGGGCGACGGCCTCATGGCCACCTTGGGCAGCCAACATCAGTGCCGTGGAACCATAGTTGAATGCTGCCGCCACATCTGCACCGTGCTGTAGCAACAGCTGGGCCACGGCCTCATGGCCACCTTGGGCAGCCAACATCAGTGCTGTGAAACCATCGTCCATTGCTGCCGCCACATCGGCACCGTGCTGTAGCAACAGCTGGGCCACGGCCTCATGGCCACCTTGAGCAGCACACATCAATGCTGTGAAACCATTGTTCATTGCTGCCGCCACATCCGCACCGTGCTGTAGCAGCAGCTGGGCCATGGCCTCATGGCCACCTCGAGCAGCACACATCAATGCTGTGAAACCATCGTCCATTGCTGCCGCCACATCGGCACCGTGCGTTAGCAGCTGCTCGACCACGGCCTCATGACCACCATGAGCAGCACACATCAGTGCTGTGGTGCCATTGTCGCGTTCAGCCTCTACATCAGCACCCTTCTCCAAAAGCAGCTGGGCGATGGATGGATTCGATGCCTGCAGCAGCATGCTGTTTAACCACGCTCTTCTCTCAGTTGCTGCTGCAAAACTGCTGCAAATCTCTGCCAGCTGCTCAGAACTAACATCTGCTCCTTGAAGGCAGCACGTGGCCGCCGAAGCAAAGTCGCCCCTAGCCATCAGGACCTGAAGCACCGTAGTGGAGAGTAGAGACTTCATGTAGCGATCAAAGTCGCCGAAGACCTTTGCCAACGCATCGGCCCCATTCTGATCTATGAAACTTTTGAACCAAAGTTCCGCACCCAATCCCTTCATCTCACATCTGATGGATTCATCGGCCGTTTCTCCCCAAATCTGGTATTTGTCCTTGGCTACTGAGCTTTGAGCCTTGGCAGTGGACACGTTCCACAAGGCCTGGCATGTGGTTTCGAGCATCTTTGTGCTCACAGCCTTCTGTCCACCATTCTCTGGCTGGGACAAGGAACCCTCACTGCAAATGAGTTCAAAGGGACGCTGCAAGTCCTTCAACCGAGAAGCCTCGAAGAGGCACCAGATGCGAGAAAATGGCTTTACTTCTTCATCCAAAACCATCACTGCACCACCAGTGGCTTGCGCCAGTGCTGCGTTGAATGGCCCCTGCTGAGGATTTTCCCCCACCTCCTCCGCCACGTCGTGCTGGTTCAACGCAAAGAGGCATATCCAAAAGACCAAGGCCTTCTTCTCTGAAGTCATCTTGTCGTAGTTCGAACCTGCCCACAAGTCAAGAGCCGTGACAGTGCTGGTGAAGTTGTGCCCCCAAAAATGGGAGACAAAGCAGTGAACAAAGAGGCCGAATGGATTCACCAGCTGTGAAAAAGATGAAATTCCGCGTGCTTCGGCAATGGTCTGCTGCTCATCATGCTCACGGGCTCCGCACATGCCTGGCTTCGACATTGGAGTCACCACAAAGGTATCCAAGGCATAAAGATTGGTATCTTGTCTGAACTTCGTACGATTGGCAATGGCATGGGCATTCTCTGCGTTGAAGGATTCACATCGTGCAGAGAGCCATCCGGTTCTGACGAACAAGGCTTCAAGATGTTGAAGCTGGCCCAATGCCATTCCACGCAAAGAGTGCGGGACTGCTCCTGACTCAGCGAAGATGTGGTGCCAAGTGTTTGGATTCAGATTGGTTCCAACTTTCGAACTAAGTAATTTCTACACTGTTCATCGTTCTACAGATTCCGGTGCGTCAACATGTATCAAACGACCTGGAAATGCCTGCAAAGTCACGCTTCACAGTTCCCAAGATGTCCAATCATTCCGAAACCTCATTCATGTCTTCATGCTTTGCGTTGCTGTAGATTCATGCTGATTCGGAAATGGATCCAGAAAACAATCGCTGAACAAAATTTAAAAAATAGAAAAGAAGCGTTTCACAAATCGCCGATCGAAATTGGGCCAAAGTGAGATGCATGTCGATATTGTCAATGCATTCTGCGGACATGTTCCACCTAGCAAAACTTTGATCGTGTTTGAATCAAAGGCTCTGATCAGCTTGGTGCTTCCTTGAGAGGCCACCATTTCAGCGAAGCTTTCTTTGCTGACGCGTTGCCCAGCCATGAGACGAGGATTGGTGCCGTGGTTTTCGGAGCTGCTCTGCGAGATGCCATAGACCCGAGCCGCCTGCTTCAGCTCGTGTGCATCGAGATCACCAGAGCCATCCAAGTCGCAGCGGGTCGCCACGAACTGAGGATCTTGCAGCTTTTGTTTCAGTTCGGCACTCACAGCCAGCAGCTCCAAATGCCACTTCGCACCTGCAGAGGCATGGCACGAAACTTCAACATCGTCAACTCTCTCTGCCTTCTGAGCCTTCTCAACATCCTTCTTTCCTTTGGGGTCTGATGGTTCGCTGAGTTTCGGCACAGCACCCAACAATGTTGGCAGCCCAGGACGGCCCGGCTCCAACGCATCGTTTTTGCTGCAGCTGCAGCCCATCACCAAAATGGAGTTCCGCGCTTATGGCGGTCACTAAAAACTGCTTAGCCGAAAACAACGTTCAACATGTTTCAAGGTCAAGTTGCAAGGTTTAAACTTTCAAACAGATGAAGCAAACTCACATCAAGCTCACTTCAAGGAAGCGGTTCAAAAAAGGACGGTTAATGGAATACCGACTTATCGGTGCCGCGATGTTTTGTTTAGTCCCAAAAAGCAGGGACTTCAAGACGCAGATTTCAACAGAAACTTGGGTCTCTCACTTCTCTGGCAAGGCATCCCCAGCCTTGCAGCGAACTGCAGCAGTTTCCACTTCCAACTGCCCACAATCCATCAGCCAGGGAAGAGATGCCTTGGAACTTCGGTTCGGGGCTGAACTAAGACTGACATGTCATCAAGGAAAAAACGGATCTCAAGGTACAGAGAAGGGATTTGCAATGAAGTTGCTGGACAAAACTGAGCTGTGTAGAGAAAACGAAATCTGGAACGAAACAGTCAGAAGACTTACATCGCTTCTGCTGGCTCCACTTCTGCAAAGAGGTCCTGGGGTCCCTGCTGAAAGTTTGACATCTCACTGGGATGCCTGAAGTTGCAAGAGACCGAGTTCTACTTATGTTTCACTGGGATTAGATCCGTTCACGACCCAGTCATGTCTTGACATTCTTCAACCCCTTGCAAAATATGAGGCTCGAATGGGAGACTTGATTGGAAACAATGACGGTAGCACATACTCAAAAAAGCCGGTTGCACGCATCATCTGGAAACAGATCATTCACGGGATTCCACGGCAGCTTGTTTTAAGCAGGATCAATCCAAAACGATAAACCATGTCTCTTCTGCTCTTCCAAGGCTGAATTTTTGTGCGTCGCGTTGGTTTTAAGAACATATCACACAGTACTGAGCATGTGAACCACACTATAGGATACTATAGTAATATATAGGTCGACCTATAGCCAAAATGCCAATGCAATGTCAAGAGGAATACCTGCCAGGTCAAATCTTGCAGAAACATGTCATGCAATGCTGGTTTCTACCGATGGTATGTCAAAGTCAAGGCATCAACAATTGTTACAATCACTGCCTGTCAACTTTTGTTAATCCATGTTTTATTCTAACAAACTGCTGGGTCGTGGTTCCCTTTGATGGCTTTGCAACCACACAACATTGCGATTTTCTACATCCGCCTGTCACATGGCATCTGTTTTCCGTGGCAATCTGAGTTCAGCACCGCGTCTTCACTGTCGCGCAATGAGCTTCAAGGACCTCATGATGCAAGGGATCCGAAACACCCATAGCACAGGTATGTGCAAAGGACTTGTGAAGTAAATAGACATAGAATACAATGATTGCGCTGGGCCGGGCCATGCAGGAGGAACGTCATTGGACTTTTTTCCTGCAGTTGCAAGAGACCGAGTTATATGTGCATATTTCACTGCGGTTAGATCCGTTCAATCCGTACACGACCCAGTGATAAGGAGGTAAAAAGTCCGCTTACTAACCATCAACCAAACAATCCACATCAACCGAGCCTCCGAGCTTTCAAAGTGCGCAGCACCAACGCCTCCCCGCGGTCTGCCACCCGAATGCTCAACGCCAAGCTCTACGATCTCAAGTGGATGGTATGGCAATGTGACGTGCTGTAAAGAGTTGCATAGGTCCTTCCATCCCAAAATGTTGACGAAAAACCTCTGAGTTTGGCGCAGGACCAAAGATTACAGTTATGGAAGAGACATCGCAGACCACTTCGACAAGTGACATCTTTTGACATGCTTGACATACGAGTGTTTCTTGAGTCAATGCAAAACCCCCAGGTCATTGGATGGTTTAGTACCAGAGATGCTAAGTATCCGGTACTCCGAACTTAGTCATTTTCAAATTCCCATCAGACATCAATTCTTCCTACTCACATCGCTCCGACCTTGGCAACTCCTCAAGGCTCCAGTTCAGCCTCGCAACGCCGGTTGTTGGAAACATATTTGGGGAGTGTGGTTTAAGATTTTGAGCCAAGATGGTGAACAGTGATGACATCTCCTTCTTACGCTCTGGTAAACTAACGTAGCTATAGAAAATCACCATGATGACATCTTGAATCAATTCATTCATCAGTGCGGGTAAGTGTAGCCTCTGCTTGTCTCCGAGTGATCAGTTGGTGTTGGTGGAATTGTCTCGGTACATCCAGCAGTTGTCGATGTTCCTTTTGCTCCTACCGCAAAGATCCCAAGAGAGTTGCTGACATCCCCAGGTGGCCCGATGCCGGTTGGATTGATGATCGGCATGTTTCAACTGATGACTTCATGGGTCAAAGCTGATGTTTCAACTCAGAATGTCCATTTCTGGCCATGAGATGCGTGATTTTGGCAGGGTCTCAACCTTGGGCTCCCCCTTGAAATTTGACGATTGAACAGAGAGCCATCAAGTTATAACATCCCAACATAGCGGAAGGCCGCAAAGTACTGTTTTTTCTCGAAGTGATCAGTTGGTGTTTGGTGGTGGAGTTGTCGAGGTTCCTTTGGTTCCTCCCGCAAAGATCCCAAGAGCGTTGCTCACATCCCCAGGTGACCGGATGCCAGTTGGATTGACGATCGAAGTGTTTCAACTGATGACTTCATGGGTCAAAAATGATTTCCTCTGAATGTTCATTTCTGGCCATGAGATGTGTGATTTTAGCATGGTCTCAACCTTGGGCTCCCCTTGAAATTTGATGATGGAAAAATGTGGTCAAAAACCGATGAAGACACCAAATGGCCATAACAAGGTGTTCCACGGCCCAGTTTTCGACCAACAACCCCATGTTCCAAACCGACTGCCTATTCCACGGCTAGGCAGCCCGCAACTCACCTGGAAGGAGCTCAAGCTGAAGCTGAAAATCCGGAAAACCGGACATGTCTTGTGATTCCCAGGGCGGAGCTAACAAAAAACAAGATGAAGCCCACGAACCCGAATGCTCACACGTATGTTAATGGCACAGATGTCAAAACACATGGATATGCAGTGACGCACAACACTTTTCTGCAATAGTTTATTTGAACAGTCTTGTTCATATTTCCCCTGTTACCAGTCTGCAGTGTGGAGTGGAAAGTGTAGAGTGTGGAGTGTAAAGTGTGGAGTGTGGAGTGTAGCGTGTGGAGTGTCGAGTGTAGAGTGTGGAGTGATGAGTGTAAAGTGCAAAGTGTGGAGTGTGAAGTGTAAAGTGAGGAGTGTGGAGTGTGGAGTGAGGAGTGTGGAGTTTGTAAATTGTAGAGTGTGGAGTGTAGAGTGTAAAGTGTAGAGTGTAAAGTGTAGAGTGTGGAGTGTGGAGTGTAAAGTGTAGAGTGTCGAGTGTGGAGTGAGGAGTGTAAAGCGTAAAGTGTGGAGTGTGGAGTGTAAAGTTTACAGTGTGGAGTTTGGAGTCTAAAGTGTGGAGTGGGGAGTGTGGAGTGTGGAGTGGAAAGTGTAGAGTGTGAAGTGTGGAGTGTAAAGTGTAGAGTGTGGAGTGTGGAGTGAGGACTGTTAAGTGTGGAGTGAGGAGTGTAAAGTGTAGAGTGTGGAGTGCGGGGAAAGTGTAGAATGTGAAGTGTGGAGTGTGGAGTGTAAAGTGAGGAGTGTGGAGTGTGTAAAGTGTAGAGTGTGGAGTGTAAAGTGTGGAGTGTAAAGCGTGGAGTGTGGAGTGCGGAGTGTGGAGTGGAAAGTGTGGAGTGTAAAGTGAGGAAGGTGGAGTGTAGAGTGTGGAGTGAGGAGTGTAAAGTGTAAAGTGTGGAGTGTGGAGTGTAAAGTGAGGAGTGTGGCGTGTAGTGTGGAGTAAGGAATGTAAAGTGTGGAGTGTAAAGTGTAAAGTGAGGAGTGTGGAGTGGAAAGTGTAGAGTGTGGAGTGCAAAGTGAGGAGTGTGGAGTCTAGAGTGTGGAGTGAGGAGTGTGGAGTGTAAAGTGTGGAGTGTAAAGTGTAAAGTGTGGAGTGTGGAGTGTAAAGTGTAGAGTGTGGAGTGGAAAGTGTAGAGTGTGGAGTGTAGAGTGTGGAGTGTAAAATGTAAAGTGTGGAGTGTAAAGTGTGGAGTGTGGAGTGGAAAGTGTGGAGTGTGAAGTGTGGAGTGTAAAGTGAGGAGTGTGGAGTGTAAAGTGTGGAGTGTGGAGTGTAAAGTGTAAAGTGTAAA